GACTGGACAGAGTTTAGACACTCGGTCCCATCGGTAACGGTCGAAGGCCACAATCATCCTTTGGGGTTCCCAGTGGAATATGATTGGTTGGGTTCACTTGAAGCTGAAAAAGTATGAGACTGTAGTTAACAGTAGTGAAAAGCAAAAGATCAGCCAGTGAGGGACAATACCATCCCTTATTGTGGTCGCGTCAACCTGCCGTTGGGCCGTTTTTTATTACACCAGTCTAATGTCCCAGTTTATTAAATAACTCATACATTTGAATACAAATTAAACAATGTTTAGCAAGTTGAAAGGCAATTTAAAACGGGCACAAGGAAAACAGATTTACGAGTGAAACCTATTGAAAACAATTATTAACCCAAAAGAAAATAACGTGCAGTCTCTCCCACTTCATCTCTCGGTAAGTGATGTAATACATAAACTAAATTGAAAGTTTGAATCACAGATGAAACAATATAAAAAAAAATTTTCAACACAGCAAAGCATTGATCGATAGTTATTATTTCGAACGCGTACGACGAAAAAATTACGTCGACCAAATGTGCATTTTTCGTTGAGAATACTTACCGGGTTTGTTTCTGAGAGGTCAAAGTTTTCATTCGACACACAGGGCCAATTGGAGGAACTGTTGCTTTTATCTGATTCATTTGGTGCATGATTTGAATTAGCTGCTTTTGCAGGAGATTTAGAGAAATCACCAAGTGTTCCAGAAAGAACGGCTTTGATCTCACTTTCTGATAAATCATTTAATTCCCGCAGGGAACGCTTCCAAAGTTCTTTCACCCCAGCGGTAATAACACAAGAGTTTTCTGCCTCGAGTGATAGAAAAGGTGGAGTGTTCATGTATTCGTTTGTACGATCCTTTTCGTCTCTATTGGAAAGGCACTGATCTCGATCGCGTTGCTCACGCCGCGCGCAAATAGCTAATAACTCGGAAGAAACAAGATCACGCAGATGCGACGGACCCAATGTGACCCAGGCTTCTGAGAGTAGACTGACCGGACTGGTTGCAAAGTGATCCAACTGATATAAAGTAGGCAAGTCCCCTTCATTGGATAGCAAAGGCTGAAAGCTATTAACATAGTCACGTAGCTTACGAAGCTCAGCCTCACAGTTGTTCGGACAACCGCATGTAGTCACTAGTACTGCTTCCGGTTGTAATTCGTCGGATTGCTTGTGTCGGTCTTTATGGACCATGTGAGAAACTCGCTTCCGCAGCCGGTGCAGAGCTGAGCTTTTCTCGTGGCTGTGATACGATTTTTGTTCTGATCGTTTTTTTCGACATTTGGATTCACGATGCCTTCTTGAGGACCTCGCTGAGTGTGAACGAGTCGACGAACTTCGATGTGACCGAGATTTCACCGAAGCATGAGAATCGACGTGTTCTTTCATCGAATTTGGGAGTTATTGTGAAAGTTCAGCGTTGTAACTTCCTGTTGGACAAAAACAGGAGTCTAAATTAGACAGACAAGTATAGTTTACTTCATTTAGAACCCTTATTTATTTCGGTTTAAAACCCCACAACCGGGTAACCGAAAGTGAATCAACAGACGTCAATACAATATACTTTCAGTTGCCACAACCAATAACGTTGAACTGTAATTCTGCGGATAGGTTGCCACTTTTTGGTTACCCAGGGGACTGAATTTTGGGACAAGATGTAGGAAAGTGAGTGAATGTGGTCATCTTTTTGCATTACTTGTGACAATCTGAACGATTTCAATACCCATTCTCTAACCACCGTACGTTTTTAGTCTTACCCATTACATTTGATGCACATTTAGATGTAGGGTTGATCAGCATTCCTCGTTTATTTGGTCAAGTCAAGTCAAGTCAAAGGTGTACCTTAATCATCCGTTATGGATACAACTCTCAGTGAAAAAATGTTATCATTTTTGCTTTGGCATACATGCTATTAAAACGGATTAAAAGATATGTCATATTGTAAATAGATAATAATGAGGAGGAACGAGAACGCGTAGCAAATGCAGAAAATTGCGGCATGACAATTTACATGAGACTGTATCAGTTCATACCCCGGAAATCACTAAACGAGAAAGGTAAGGTACAACGGAATTGTGAAAACCTGTGCTGTGAGAGTATAAAGGTTTATATTTATTGCGGTTGACAGAAGTGAAAATGCAATGAGAGACGGTCGAGAGAAAGTGATACATCAGAGAAGACTGAGCCACACAGACAGTCCCACGCCTTAATGTGTTGGTCAACAATGGAGTCGACCAGCGCCACATAAAACACGGCTCCATATTTAGAGATGCTTTTCAGAGAGCATCTAATCAATATGAAATACTCAGATAACCGACTGGAAAATATAACGGAGAAGCAGTAGATCCGATGGCATAAAACGCATGAGAAAATAAATCTAGAAATAATGTACAATGGCACCAACAGATGTCGAAGGCGTGAAATATAAAGGGTCAACTTTCTGACTTAAGAAAACGTTTGTCGGAAGTGGGAGGATTATTTGAAGTCAGTCGCTGCCACAGGCGTGCTTTGAAACCTACNCGAGCCCCGCCACTGCCACTCGGCTTTGGTGATAGGCACCTTGGCTGTTGTCCGGTTCAATACCACGCCCGACCTAGCTGGGCCTTATTTGGCTCGCCATTTTAAGTCCCGGGGCTTATTTCACCGGTTTCCATCACTGAACAGCAGGTCTTCCTGACTATGGGGTTCGCCCCGTCTGCTGTTCATCACATGAGAGTGTGTAGTAAAAAAATTCCAAGGTATTTGAACATTTCAACATTTACGTTATTGACTAAGTTGTTGGGCGATCCGGTTGATGCCCTACGATTAATGGAAAACAAAACATCAACGCATTTATTGGGTTTAAAGAAAGGTTAACATCATCGGACTATTCCGAAATGGAACTTATGGTTGATTGAAAGGGGTTCATTAAAGGGTTATTATTAAATGCACCACCAACCACTATGTCATCGGTATATTTAAATTCGAAAACAGTTGGGGTAATTGGTAAGTTTTGGATGTAAAAGGAGAACAGAAAAGAGGATAACATTGCTCGCTGTAAAACAACTTGGTTTACATTGACCATCGAAACAAGTGGATCGGGGTCGGTCAGTAAAATAGCCGTGCATTCATATCGAAAGATGTGTCGGGAGATTATGTTGCCGTAACAATCGTAATAGGGTATTGCTGTCAACACAGTTAAACGCGATTGTGCGGTCCAAAAAGCAAACATGAACAACTTTGTGTCTTGGTCGATAGTGGATAAAATAGAATGTGTAAGACAAGCAGCCGCATCTACAGTAGACCGACGCTTACAATAAGCAAACTGACTGGAATCACAAAAACCAAGACAATAGGACAGATACCTAATAACGATTCGACCAAAAGTCCTAAGTAGTGCTGAAGATGACGCTATAGGCCGAAACTTACGCTGTTCTTTCTTAATTCCTGGAGTGATTCCGTCATTACGCCATGTGTCAGCTGGTCTAACTTCTGACAGACATGTGCTAAAGATAAGTGAAACAATTTGCTCGACTTGGTTCGGAAATATTTATAGGACCACCGGGGGCAACCGATAAGGACCGGAGGATTCACTTCTGCTTACAGTATTCAGCTCCATTAGAAATTGCTCTGTTGTGACAGTCACAGGAGGATGGAGATCAATTGACATTGTACTTGGTCACGGTAATGCTTGCACAATATTGCTCACTGTAGTAAAATATCTCCTGAGCTTATTGATGTCATATGAGACTATAGTAGGTCCAGGTGAACGATCACAGAGCAACTTCAGCCCGTTCCATGGCTGACGGCAGGATTTGTCCTTCGACACGATGTCAACATTAATTGATTGAGATGGGCTATCTCGTTTCTGACAGATTTGATATTTAGGTGCAGAATACGGACATCTATTAGGAAGATTTAACCATACAGTGAAATTTTCTAAGACTACTTTAGTATAACTAATCATTGTTTTTATTGATGTGATTACAAGCCTGGAATAAGCGCTCTCCGGCGAACCAAAGAAACAACCAGGCATGATCCGTTATTCGGGAATTTATTTCCATATCTTACCACCCCTATGCTAATGGGCCTTATATGATTTACCGGGGTTTGGGTTGCCGGTTCCCGTGAATGAAAAACAGGTACTCATGACTATGGGGTTTAGTCTTTTTGCTGTTTACCACAGAACAGTGCGCTGAAAAATGCCAATCCTTCTGTTTTCTATGGTTACTTAACAAACTACCTGAACTTTTGCTATTATATAGGTGGTCCTTTGAAGATTGTATTCAATCGGTTTGATTGATTCGCCCAACCCCACGTTACAGACAACTTTAACTCAAAAAGAAATGTGCCTTGCACATGATCAACCATACTGCAGAACACAACTCAAAAAATCCGCGATCTCAGAAAGTATGCAAACCACCCCGCCCGGACGGAATATCACTCACTCATCGTCCTCAAAATGTCCTCTGGAATTAGATTCTGCTTTGAGCAGTGTTTACCTTCACCTTATTACTTACTTACTTTACTTTACTGCGGCTGGCTC